CGAGCAGCACCCAGTCTATCCCCGCCGCCGTCAATGCATGGGCGGTGATGAGACCAATTGCACCGCCACCAACGATGATGCATCTGAATTGTTTCGACATGGTGTTGTATGAGACCGCTGATGATAAGAGCAGAAGAATAGATAAGAGATAACAACACTATACCTATGAGCTCGAGGGAGCTCGTAGGTACGATCAGTGCCGGCGGCAAACCCTGATGAGGAGCAGAGGGACCGCCAGTTGGATGGTGCCGAGTATAGAGTTTTAACCGGGCTGCACTGATCGGACGGGCAATCGGGCAGTGGCAATTATGATCGTATACTTGACGTCGTGGATATAAGGAAGAAGTCAGTCCCAGCTGACAACAACAAGAGATCGTCCCCCTTCAACTCGTGCGAAACGTGGGAGGGGAAAAGTTTTATGGGATCTGCACGCTCTGAGGCTGGACCCTTTGTTTCTGTTCCATTTTTTTCAGCTGTCTCCCTGCGTCTGGCTGGTCAGTCACTATAGGGCTGATACAGGAGGACCATATCGCTCAAACTTCCCCTAAGCCCCTTATTTCCTAGTGGGACATCAGCTAGAAACAGCAGCGCTACGCAGTGGAGTTGGGAGGTTCGGGCGCCCGTCTGCGCCATGGAAAAAATATGTCCTAGGGGCGCCTCCAGTGCCTCCACACCCGTCAGCCGCTTACTAGTCGGACTAGGCAACGCCCAACCTAGGAGCGTCTTCTCGTCCCAGCTCTTGCTTCCGTCCGAGCTGCTAATGAAGGAGAACAATCCGAGCAAGCTGACAGCAGGACATGCTATTGAAGCCAAGGCATGGCGATCCAAATGTTACTATTACACAGCTACAGAGCGCAGAGTCCAGACACCCAGCGAAATGCAATCGAACATCTCGCCGTGGATACAAAGATGGAAAGCCAACCGAAAAGGCCGAGAGCTCGTATCCGTGCGTGTTAGACTTTATCTTGCACCGGCGGCCTTTTTTCAGCTTTCCGGCACCGAATTTTTATGAATCCCATTTCGCCATTCATATCTCTGGGCTGTTTGCTACCTCTTTACCCCTCTTCTTGCTCTTAAGGTTTTCGTGCTAACAACCAGACCTGCGTACCTGCATACCAGGTCTCATCTCATCATTCGCCTGCCCGGCTGGACTTGGCTGCCTGGACACACTACTCCTTACACTACATGACCACCGCGACGTGGTCGTCCATGAACTTGCTAATATCCCCCAGGAATAGCGCGGCGACTATCGATACAGCGCCAAAGGCTATGCTGCTATAGTAGACGTACTTGTATGACTCTGCGTATGCGATCTGGCCGGCCTTGACCACGGCCTCGTACAGCGCCTGGTTGCCGGCGATGCCGGGAAGGTCGGCGATGCGGTCGATCAGGCTGTCGCTCGTGAGAGTCACGGCCTCGACGAGCGTTTCCATCGACGTGACGTTGGCCTGCTCCAAGACTGCACCAATATACTTGATCGAGGCAGGTGTGAATTTGCTCACAAACACGTTCTAGTCATCCCAAGACACACTCGTTAGCTTCACAGTCAGCTCGGAAAGGTAAAGTTCTGACCCCGTTGTCTTGGCGTAAGAACTCGCGTGTATCGCGTTTCTCGTATCGGGTCGCACCAACGCGGAACACACACATGAAATCACACCACTATCCAGCTCTCCGTCTGATAGCGAACGAATAGGAGATGAGAGACTGGGAAATCCATGGTTGCACTCACAAAATACACGCAGTAGCCAATACTGCCACCGATAACTCTAATGCTTAGCGTCAACGCCGCAACTGTCGCAATCAGGTCGTCGGGACAGATAATCGTCGTGATAATCGAGGCTGGCACCACAATCCCGCCAATACCCAAACCTGCCAACACGAGGATGCCCCACAGCTGAGCCATGTTGTCAATGTCGGCAACGGCAATGGCGCCGCAGCCAGCCGTCATGAGCACCGACGACACTACCATCAGCGTCTTGTTCTGGCCACGGAAGACGGACAGCAGGACGAGCACTATGACCGCGCCAGACATGATGCCAAAAGCTACGGGGAGTCCTCGAATGCCCACTTGGACGGGATCGTGACCGTACACGTTAAAAGCCTGCACCGGCCAAAACATGAGAATCGAAAAGAAGTTGGCGCCCGAGATGAAGGTGATGACCAGGGTCCAGATGAGAATCGATGGCGCCTGGTTCAGCCGACGAGGAAACATGGGATACGGCGCAAACTTGGCTTCCCAGACTACAAACACCACCAGAAGTCCCGCTCCAAGAACAAGCGGCACAATGACATGAGCGGAACTCCACGGGTACTTGAGGCGTCGTGGTCAGCAACACGAACGATTTAACAATGGTGATTCAGCTTCGCTCGCTTACCTGGTATCCTCCCCACTGCATTCCGGCCATGAAGAGAATCATACCAGAAATGCTTGTCAAGCCACCGACATAGTCGATACGCTTCAGAACCTCGCTCTGGCTCAGACCATCCGAGTTCGACCGGGGCGGCGGAAAGTAGAATATCGCAGTCAGGACGAGACCGATGAAAGCCCACAAGGCACAAAAGAGACCGACGTATCTCCAGCTGGAATAGTAAGCAATCAACTGTCCCCACAGGACCGAAGGGCAAAAAGGCACAATGGTAAAGATGAGTGCGCCGACGTAGATGCCCCTCTTCGAGGTTGGCGCCAGCTCGGACGTGGCCGCCAATGCTGTGAGCTCGTTGATGCCTGCTCCGACGCCCGCAAACACCATTCCAGCTTATCAAAAGTCAGCCACGACCTCGAATTGCTTTCACTGAATTAGATATCCCTACCGATGAACGCGTTCATGTCTTTCGCAGTTGAACAAATGATCATGCCGATGACGATGAAGGATGCCCCTAGAGTGTATTGTCGTCAGCTTGGGGACTGGCCGATGATCAAAACGAAAGCGGCCTACCCATGAGAGCGACATATCTCCGCCCAAGCAGATCGGACATGGATCCGACAAATGGACAGACCCCGGCCAAGGAAAGCAGATTGGCGAGGACAAACCACACCCATCGATCAGTCCCGCCAAGATCTCCATAGATGTATGGAGGAATCTGCAAGTCATCAGGCGTCTGTTCTTGCGAGCATGTCGAGCATACATACACCTCCGAATAGGTAAACTGGTATCTGCGAGCCGGTCCATAGGAAAGCCTGGTAGAGGTGAGTTAGGAGTCGGCAGTCTTTGGATCCTGCTCTGTCCACTAACCTGGGCAACAAGGGCCATTTTTCTCTTAGTTGTCATCTGTTACCTTGTCATCAGTGCTAGCCATCATAGAATACCATGCGTTGTTCGACACCTACAGGCGTGTCCTGGTGGTATACTCCGTCTCCTGAAATTGAACAACGGTCAGCGTGCTATCTCGGAGCCAACCCCAGGACCACCAATGATGACTTACCTTCGGTGCGGAGTCCATCTTCCTCGGTATAACGCCCCTTTCCTGGGGAATTCTCGTGAGTCGAGACTTTCTCGAGCTGCGCTACTTCGGCCTTCTCGTGGTCAGGGCTCGGCGGGGTGACCTGGGGCGTGACTTTGGTCTCGGTTGGCGACGACATTCTGGATTGGCTTACAGTCACTTTAGCTTGAATGGATTCTCTTTAGCGACTCTGTGTATCAGAGTCTCTACAGCATTGGAACATTCAAAGCTGAATCAGGAGCTTCGTCGCAGTTGATATAGACTGCGATTCAATCCCACACCCCGCACGAGGTCCGCACGATTGCATACACTCGAGATAACCCTGGGCCTGCCAACTACGTCTCGCTTACATGGCATCCGCAGCGATAGGCCCTCTGGGAACTTCTTTATCGGCGCTGTGACGCCCCGATCTGGACTTTGCTATGCGATGGAGATCTCGTGGGATGCAAGTCGACGCCATCGACCGGGGCCTTCCCCGCAGTTCAGAGCTGGGCCCCCGGACGTTGACTGACCAGAATCCGGGGAATATAGGGCCAATCAGAGGGCCATGCGAGACTAGGGGCCGAGGCTCGACGTCTGGGTGGTGCGTCACATCGTCGAACGCTGAGCAGACTATGGGATGTGCTGGTGCGAAGTCGTTGCTCCTTTTTGGTCGACTAATTGTTTCGTCTTTCTGGTGTGAGCGCCATGAGTCCTGAATGGTTGAAACGGCCGAGGCATGTAAATAGAAACATAAGGCGGCTGATCTGGTTCTTCCGCATCTATCATGCTAGTCAGGAAGCGTTTGTCAGTGTTGGTGATTCGCTGCCATCAAATGCAAACGTGGTTTCACGGAGGCGAGACTGAGAAAGTGATTGGCGCCAAAGACTTCAGGCCAGGCTCATGCAGAGGCGGATATAGTCATCCGCCAGATGTTGAAAGGGGAAAGCTGTAAGTGAAGACTAGACTCGGTCACTATGGTGCCCTAAAGGCTAAGGAAGCGCTATATGAAAAGTGAGGGGGAGGCTCAATATCCTGGTCAGCTTTTGTGGATGGAAGAGGCAGCCCGGTGGTGAGACGGCCAGACGGAACACGACAGTTCTACCACGTTCAGACGCTGAAACCACATCATCGACATTCTGCATGCATCTGCAAAGCTGCTATTGGTGGTATATGTCAGGTTCAATATAGCTGACCTGTCTATTCATGATCATTCTAATGGGAGTTGGGAAGAACTGATTCCACATTGTGCATCCTAGTGTCGACGTGTCACTGCGTGACTATTGTTCCTGGTGGGATCCCAAACACTTCCCAAGGGACACCTATCAAATTCAGTTCATGGGTTGGAGGTAGATACCATGTCACTCGGCCGAGTACACATCCACTCGTCCGAATCATGACGTTTGAGTAAGTCGAACTCGGGTCTGAACATGGCATCTTCTATCTGGGTGGCAATTACATTGCTCGTAAGCAGATGTGCATACAGAAGAATAGGCGGTATGATGATATATGATTAGTTTGCTTTGAGATGAAAGATGAGGAGTATAAACAGTTTTATGTTTCGATTCACACATGTCAAATCTCGATTAGTATAGTGGTCAGTATGCCAGCTTGTCATGGAACAATGGTCCAATTCGCTGGAGACCGGGGTTCAATTCCCCGATCGAGAGAGACTTCTTTTTGACAATTTTGGCATTTTGCCGTTTGCGTTTATTGTGCGTGGTCGCTGTGAGTGGATCACTATGGCGGAAGACGGGGCGGATTATGTAAAAGTAATAACACTTGACTATGAAGGCTCTAACCAGTGGAGAGGTCGTCAACGACTCCAACATCAAATCGGCTGGGCAAAGTACTCGTCGCCTTTTGGTACGATATATCTACGGGCGCGAAGAAGGAAAAGAGCTTTCAACTGATCGGTGGCGACGCAGCCAAAGATGGTCGAGCACCAACTGGTGATGCGGTACTGTTATTTTATACGAGTTTTCAAGACAATCCCTTTTCAAAACTTCTATATTATCCTTAGAAACTACTTACATCTCTTCTTCGATATTACAATATTCGAGAAACAAACATAAAAGAAGGCAAAAATAAGATGAAAGTACATCTTCCTAGATTATCTGTCCAGGGAGTCTTTCACTGCACCATGGCGGCTCGTCATGGCCCTGCTTGTTCAGAACTCAAGAAAGTAGATGGTGTATCTTCTGGCGAGCTGACCGTGGTCGAATTGACTGGATCTACTGGAAACGCATACAAAGATCCGTATTCGCAGTATCCCTGAACACACGTAAGGAGCCCACCTTGGCAATGGCAAGTCAGCTGCGAAGAGACGGGATTGATAGAACAAGTGCAGGGGTCCTCCAAGAGGCCCTGTTCATTGAGAGCATCCGGATCAAGAAATTCTAAATATCCCCAGAAATCGCCAAAGGCCAGAAAGCCCGTCGTTGGAGAACCAGGGGTGATGTAGAAAAGAGTGCCATTCTCTGCCAGTATGAATTGTGGCTCTGGACCTTCCCTGGAGGAGATGGACAGGAGCTCCGGAACGGCACTATCGCTAGAGAACGGACGAGGCACGAGAGAAAGCTCGTGTTCTTGTGTCGCATCTCGAATGGTAAAGGGTGGGGAGGCACTCGCCAGGACCGGAATTGCGAACCAGGCATCGCACGAGTCGACGCAATTGACGAGGATTCCGCCGCAGTTGCAAGTCAGCTGCGAAGAAGCGGGATCGATGGAACAGACACAACGGTCCAGCAAGTCATATGCGGCATCGATGCCGTTCGGATCTTCAAACACAAAGTGATTCCGTGTGCCTCCGTATGCGACGAAGCCAGTTGATGGGTCATCGGGGGTGGCATATATCAGATTACCCGCATCGTTCAGTGTGAACTTGGGAATGGGGCCGTCCCTGGAAGAAATATAACCAAACGACAGGATCCTACTGCTGTCCAGCGGGCCAGAGATATATACGACAGAGAGCTCTCGTTCTTGGTCGGCATCTTGAACAGCAAAGGTCTGCTGTGCAGTGTGAATACTCGTTGGACTTGCTGTTGAGCTTGTAGGGGATGGAACAGTTGGATCTATTGGGAACGCATACCAAGGCATCACCTCGGTGCCACGCACTGGATGTGCTCCGTCGCAAGGATATGGATCTCCGACAGGAGAGACGCAAAACATGGTGGCTCCGTCGCAATTGCAGCTCAGCTGGGACGTAGCCGCGTCCAGGGAACAATGACAGATGCTGTATCCCTCACCACTTCCAAAGGGGTTCAAGAAGCGGAGGGCTGATCCATTCTTGCCAAATAGAACATTGGGACTTGGTGATTCGAGTTGAAGCCAGCCCCCTTCAGACAGTGAAAATGTCGAGTCCTTGCCCAGTCTAGCGGCCGGAACGAGAGACACCGTTCCTCCGTAAGGGCCTAATTCATCGTATACTGCGAGCTTTTGTGTCTGTCCTGCATTTCGAATGGCAAAGGTTGGCCCCGCAAACGGGACACTAGATGTGGTCGTTGTGATGATCAGGGATTCGGTGGTGTTTGCGGATGGCAGAGGATGTTCGCCATAATTGTAGTAATTATGCCGTTCAGAGTCACCGGCAAGAGCTTGTTCTGCAGTGAGCAGGACGAGGAAGAATATTGCGGAAGTCATCATAGTGATCGGAAATAAACCCAGTAACGATTGTGCGACGAGCATCGGATGACTGTCGTATCTGAAAATTATACGCAGCTGGGTGTCTCCTTTATAAACCCTGGTAGATATAGTGAGCCCTTCGCGTAGTTTTCGCATTCACGATCCATACTTATTCCCGAAGTTGGTTTGCTCTTTCACACTCATCGGGACGGCAGCCTGCCGGCCGTCTTGGCAACTTTTGCACCTCTCTGCTAACGATGAGTCACAGCCTTTCTTTTTCTCGCCCTCCAATGGGCAGACAAAAGACGTCGACATTCGACCCGTTTTGATCGATGGCTGTAGCTCCATGGTAGCCACTGAAATCCCTTCTGGAAGTTGAACAGATCCGAGTCACCGTACGACAAAAACCAAATGGAAATCTCGCACAACCAAGCGTCTCTTGAGACGCGGCAGCTTTATTGAAACGTCAATATGGCGTCAAGGCTATCCAACCGCCACGCCACTTCAGCCCCGTTCGGCGGCCTATTATGTAATTCCGCCTCTTGAAAACAAGTGCCCGGCGTTTCGGACCGGACTGTAGCAAATGGCTGCGGTGGATTAGAGCTCCGGGAACAATATGACACGGCATCGGCCTCTGTCATACGAAACGGATGATCATAATTAATAGTATGTAGGTAGGTTTGTGCGCCGCGGATTAAAGAAAACTTTAGATTTCAAAAGGAATCACCGGACAGAGTAGCTGACAAGAGACAATGCCATTCGCCAAAGCAAAGGCGGCCAAGAGCTAGAGTAAAAAGGCGTTTGTAATTTGACGTCGGGAGATACTACATCATGGCTGTAGAGCGGATCCCGAGCCTTGTGGGCAGTATGAGGGAGCGAGCTTTAAGCCCAGAGATGCCAACCTAAAATTACATTGCAACGTCACTTCCTTTGAGGTTAATGACCTAATGACAGGCATGGAAAATCCCATCAGAGTCATCTGGCCATACTGATCGCATTTTCTCCTTGATTGCCCAAGCTCGCCCTCTACTGTTGACAACCGAAAAAAAGACCATGCTATCTGGGAATATCATGTCAGCGAGGTCTGAATCAATAGACTGCAAAAACCGTTGAACTTTGGCCTACCATTTTCCCGTGCATTACCACTTAGGGATGCTGCCAGAACTGAATGCCCAACTCGGTATTGAACGAATCAGGCTTTCCGACGGTGCAAGAACTGTGCTCGCTGATGTAATAGCAGACGGTGCCATAGTTGCAAATGGTCAAGACGCTGCCGGAGACGTTCTCGAGCTCGATGGTAGAGCCGGACAATGTCAAGGACCCCCAGCTTGGGGAATCGGCCACCAGGTCGCTGCCATCCTGGACGAAGGAGGCGCTGGCGACTTGGCCACAGCCGGCGCAACCAGACTCTGCAACACAAGTCGTGCCAAGAGCGGCGGGCAAGAGTGACAAGATGGACAGGGCGAACGTGGTCTTCATCCTTGCAGAATTTTAGTTGAAATGAATAGGTGCTTTGAGGGATGGGGACTGAGGATGTAGGAGAAGGTAACCCAAAGGCTGGTGAAGACGTCCTTTTTAAACTCATTCTTCAGGAACAAAATGTGACATTTCGTCATTCTATATCCTTCAACGGACAATGCTCAGCCGATGCCCATTCGAGGTTCTCATGGTTACAAATTCCTGACCAATTCGAGTATTTCCCCAGATATACTCCACCTTTTAGAGTTGGGTGAACTGGCCACCTTCCCGAACAACTATCAATCCACTACGACGTTACCAAGACTTTCTGGTATTATAACCGCAGTTGCACCCTCAGCATCATATGGTTCCAACACAAAGTGACAGTGAGCAGGGTCCCATCTTTTTGTTCCAGCTACGGACAGCTTCCTGAGATTCTAAGCAGGTAATTCATCAAACACGATAGATCGTCGAATAGTCGAAGCATTGATCTTTGGCTGACATGGCTGCCTACGATGATACGTTTGAAGCTATCGACAAAACCCGCCGACCATTGTGCTAGCAGAATAAGCTTATTTCCCGGCCGGCAACTCATTCGCGAACCCCTCGCATCAACCCCTGTAAATTTGGTAGCGACCTTGGCAATGCGACTTGGGTGCAATGCAAGTTAGAGTCGGACGAGGTCGCATCTCGTATCCCATAGGTCGCATTTGTCATGTTGCGATGACTCGTGTTTCGCCCTTGAATTTGTCATGAATCTCTCTCCTGCCATGCGCTTGTTGGACTTGCATGTGGATTGTAAAACGTCAAAATCGCCATTCTGCCTGAACGGGATTGCCATCTCTATGACTTTGGGCAGATGCCCATCACGCTGAATGACTCGACACGCATTGGTCCTCTTTGCATGGCCAGGCCGCCAGGGTGGATTTACAAGGTGTAAGAGCAGTGACATGCGGCAAAGAGAAAGAAGGACCATTGGCGCAGCGCCAGTTTGGAACGCGGGGCGGGATCGGGCATCGCTCCGAGATACTGGCCCCTTCGGAGGGAAGGGATCGACAAGTATTTATTTCCGGTGTGGTATGGTAAACATTCGACGCCGGCGACTTGCCGAGCCGTGTTCCGATTCTACACATGCCATGCAGGAACATTTCGAACGAGCACTGTACAATGATGCCACTACTAGCGCAGTGCCTTTGTATACACTCTTCCGAAATGCCTTGCGAATCTGCGCCAGTACAGCAAGGGTCCAGAATCCGTCACCGACCTCCTGCATCTTGAGGGGCGCATCGCACGAGGTGCCGCGAGGTAGCATGAAAGCCAGAGCCTACTCCATATGCACTTAAAGACCGGATCCCAACTGGGAATGATAAGCAAAGCGCAACTGCCAAGACCAGCAACGAGCTCCAGCCCCAGGCCCGTGGCAGATTCTGGCATCGAAATGGCAAAAGTATCAATTCGGAACAAGCTATGTCATATTGTTGCATTGGCCAAGCACACAGTATCTTACACTGCTTAAGCGAAGAGCGATGTCCACTAATCCATCACATTTGAGTCACGCCATGGCGCAAAATGGGTATCAAATTCCGAA